ATTGATGCAGAAAGCTTAGCTTCTCTGTACACCAGTGCTAAATCAAATCTCAGAGACAGAGTTTTGGGTGAAGTAAAAAAGGATAGCTTTATTGCTTTGCCAGGCAAAAGAGGACATAGTGGGTTGATGCCCTCAAAACCGAGTTTCCCAACTTGGGGAAGACAGAAGTTTTATAGTAAAAGTGGGGGTGATCAGCTTGTGAACATTCTTCTGATGAATGAGCTAAGTAGGAGTCAGCATAATCAACCTTCAGCGTCAACTGGCCTGGGGTCTACATGCTTATGGGCAGCATACCATAACTTCTCCCACCTGGAAGGAGTTTCAGTATCTGCGCAATAGCTCAAAGATAATATTGTGTGTATCCATTGATGGGGAAACAGGACCTTGTTCCAAGGCGCTCTTGACTGTTTCTCCCTGGTCTCACATGTCCACCCTTCCCTGATTAACAGCTGCTTGAATCTACCCTTTGGAACTCTGGGAAGGTCATGGAGGCTGAATGAAGGCTGTTTCCTATAATCAATGAAACTGGGACACAGAAAGGCTCTGTGCCCAGGAGCCCCACAGGGCCCTGCAAGGTATCATTATTATCACCATTTTAGAGACAGAAAAACGAACCTGAGAGGATGTAAACAACTTGGCCCAAGATAACAGTGGGCAAAGAGTTAATGTAACAGCTTTCATTTCCCTTCTCCAGGAGAATTTGACCTTCATTGACTTCCGCTCTGTTACCCTGGTAACCTGATAAGAGTCATATGTCCATTATGTCTCTAGGCAACATTGCCTATGATAAAAATGACCCTTAATTGGTTGGCAAATTGCATCTGGAGCTAGAAGGAGTTGTATGTGAACTATAAATACTTGAAAAGGACACCATACTTTGGGCTTCCCTGAAGGCAGTGTCTCTGGATGCCTCTTACAGGGACCTTGGAATCTGTGCCTCAGGAGGTGCTGATATAACTCAGGAGTTGCGAGATGCTGCTTCTCTGAGGCACCAGGACATCTCCTCCACCTGCCTGATATGGCTCTGGTCTCCTTACATGAGAGTTGCGAGACTGGCCAGAGACTCCCTGAATGAGGAAGGCGATTTGGTACTGTCCTGCTGGTGTATGTCTTCCAACCTTCTGAGTAGGTTGGCGCCAGCGTAGCCCATGGTCATCTTGTAAGTCCCAATGATCAGCTGGATCTAAAAAGTTGAATCTAGAAGTGAATTGGCCCAGGGTGTTGCAGTCCTACAGTCAGAAGTGGAAGAATCAAAATTGGAACCTATGCATTCCGACCCAAATGCCCATATCTGTCACCATCCATCTAGAGTGCCTCAAGGAAGAGAAATAATTCTACAAATGTCTCAGGACTGATGTTTATCTGATCCTAGTTTGTCTACTTCCAAAACTAGGTTCTTAACCACCAGTGAAGGCGTGGCTATAGAATAAAAAGATCTGTTTGTCACAGGTAGCCCTGCCTCGTTCATCGTACCCATGGATACATAGTTCACAGGACTTCCTGGAAGGTGACTTGATAGTGTAGGTGGACAAGAACGGGTCAGTGTAGGTCATTACCAGAGCTTATGCTTGCATTTCTTCCTCTCCTTTTCTCATCTCTTTCCCTCCTCTCTGTTCTTCTCCTTTAAAAACAACAACAACAACAACACAAACTTTTGAACTACTTTTAGATTTTGAGAAAAGTTGCAAAAATTTTACCCTTCCTGTATGCCTTTCATCCAGATTTCTCAGATAGTAACATCTTACATAACCATAGTTACTAAAGCTGTGAAATGAACATCGGTGCAATACCACCAACTAAACTCTAGACCTTGTTCAAATTTCACTAGTTTTTCCCCAAGGCTCTTTTTCTGTTTGTAGGTGAGACTAGATACTGTTCCTAGAAAGGAAGCCGCAGTATCTGCTGTCGTTCTCCTTAGTCTCCTCCAATGTATAACCACAGTTCCTCGTCGTTCCTCCTCTTCGATACTCAGTCAGTTATTTTGTAGAATGCCCTTTAGTTGGGTTTGTTAGATGCTTTCTATGAATGGACTGAGGTTATAAGTTTTGAGCAAGACTACCATAGCAATGACATTGCATCCTCCTCCATGCATTGTATTAAGGGATCATGATGTTGATATGTCTTATTACTGGGGCTCATTCTTTTCTTCTCTATTTCCTTTCTTAACTTCTTTCTTTAACCCACAAAAAACTCAGCACATTAAGATAGGGTCATAGTACCAGGACAGAAGCCCTCATCCTTATTATAGAAGTGTGAGAGATCCAGCCAGGGATGCTCTGGCTGCTTTCATTTTTCTGCTACTTTTTGTTTTTCTAACTCTTTGTAGCTTCTTCAGTTTTTCCAACTACGTCTTGAATATGGGAATCAGTTCTGTCAAACTGAACTTTGTTGATCAAAACTGTCCTGATGCTGCTCTGCCCTCACCAGATTCTTAGAGATGCCGGAGCCTGAGGGGGCTGCGATTCCTGGAGGATGCAGCACAGAGCCCAATGATAAGCCCATCCTCATCTCTAGGAGTGTCTGATGCAAGCAAGTCTTTCCTACAGGGTCTTTTCCTCTGTGTTCTATTGCTTTGTGAGTTAGGAGTTTCAAAAGTTGCCTGGGTCAGAGTCAGGCAACTGAGGGGTGAAGGGGTGTAGGGATAGGAGTGGGAGGGGCGGGTAGAGTAGGGCCCTGTGACCAGCAGGGCACATCTGTAAGGTATGTCTTTCTCCCCTTGTTTTCTAACTTCATGGGGAAAGTGTTCCATAAAACCGCAGTTAAGCAATTTAAATAGAAATCTCAAATAAGCAGAATTTCTCTCATCTTCAGTTTTTAAGAAATGGATTGTGAGTTCTTATCTGAGATTTATTTTTAAAATACTTCTAGGTATGTTTCAGGATCAGTATAGTTACCTTCATCTCTACTGTTTAGTTTATAGAATTCAGTGTTGACCAGAGATGTTCACTGAGTTAACAGTTTCCACATTTGGAATCACAGGGCTTTTTGGACTAGAAGGTATCAAGGTAGATTATATTCAATGTAATGTCTTTACTACATTTATTTCAAGAAATATTAAACTGAAAAAGTAGAAAAAAGGAAAGGAATTGGAAAAAAGATTCATCAAGAGTATGTATTTCTTTTTTCCTTTGCCTCAAACCTTTTTTTTTTTAAACTACATATTATATCCCCCTATGAGCCCCTTCTGGAACCTAATTGTCTTCCCTCCGTCCCAGAGGTAACCACTACCATGAATTCAGCATTTATCCTTTCCAGCATGTCAGCAGTTTTTCATATGTTTATTAGATATTTATGAATTCGTAAACCACATGTAGTATCATTTTACAGGTATTAAAATTTATATAAACTACTATATATACTGCAAAGTGCTTTATATAAAATACTTTATATACTACAAACACCAGTCTGCAACTTTTTCACTCAATATTGTGTCGTGTTTAATGGTCACAAAGTTTATATTTTGATTATCAAAAGATTGTCAAAATTTGAAATAATGTCGAGTAAAACCTATGCTATGTAATAATGTCCTATCTGCTCACTGTAAAGTTTAAAAATCAGTATTTTTATAATTAAATCAATAACCTGGTAATTGACAGGTGAGCCATAATTTATTTTTTAATAACCTAAAATTATTTTTGCTTTGGGAATCTAATTGTACAGACTTGATCATAATTACCTAGACTTTAAAGTGTTGATAGGATTTTCCTCATTATGAATGCAACACAAGCCACTGTGGATAATCTGGAAGACAAAGAAAAGTGTAAAATAGAAAATAAAATGTTCACAATCTGAATTGTCCGTGATCTACCTATACTAATTTAGAAATAGTCACTATATGCATTTTGATGTATTTTTTTTCTAGGCTTTCTTCTATGTACATACAAATATTTTGTTTCAAAACTAGAATTATGTCATATGAAGTACATTATCCTTAACATGATTTTATGAACATGACCTCTTTTCAGTGAACATTCTTGGGAAATGTGATATAAATATAAATTTTTCATACAGATTCACCAGATTGTATTTAACTGGTCCCCAAAGATTAAAGTAGTAGGAAATAGTATATCTATGTATAGTGATTAAATTCAAATTATTTTTTTTCTCAAAGCATAGTATTCAAATTACATATTTTGCCTAAGGAAACAAATCTCCAGTAATTGTATGGTATGACTTACTGAATGCAAACTCTTGATAATATCAAAGCTCTACTTTTAAATGCAAGGCTGCAATTTTGCTCCCAAAATACATACTTCAGAGTCATAAAGTAACAGCTACAGCTGGTTACTCAGGTTTAAGTATAATCTGCTACAGTAATTGAATAGTTTTCACATAGTTTTGGTCTCCATGGGTTTATGCTTAATAGTGAAAAATCAAAGGTCTGTGAACTTCCTCCTTATAAATGACCAATTACATGGATGACCTAAAAAGAGTTCTGGTTGCTATGTTTATGAGATGGTACTAGAGTAGCTCCAATACATGCTTTTAAATGCAATGCTTTTAAAATGGTTTGTAGTTTAAATAGATTACAATTTATCTATTCTTTGTTGTTTTTGCTTCCAATTTTTCTGTCATGCAAAAGACTACAGTTATATATTTAAAAATTAAGCCTATTCTTTCAAATGCAAATGAGCATATCCATACCTTTTAAGTCCTGTGGTCCAGGAAAGGGCCTGAAGATTGTAAATATTGTTTTCATTTATACCCAATACTGACTAGGTAGCCTTGCTGAGTAGGTAAATTGAATGGATGCATGTGTGCATGGATCCATGGATGCATGGATGATTAGATGGATAGATGGATGGTTTAATCAATTTTTGAATCTCTTAATTTGTCAAAACTTGTATTGGAATGGTCAAAAAGTTTGTTCCAGTTTTTCATAAGATGTTACACAAAAAACTTGAACAAACTTTTTTGGCTGAACAATGTATCCATTTATAAAATGTCTTTGCATGTGTGGAAGAAGGACATATCAATTCTTAGTCTCCTTTTCCTTCTAGATGTTGAGATGCTTCAGGCCAGTACATCTAATCCAATCCCCAGGGATGCTTTCTCTCGGACTACTAAGGACTCTATGATTCGCAAGTTTTTAGAAGGTACGTTGCATCAGTGAGCAGGAAAGCAAAAAGAAGGAAAGAGAAACAAATGTAGACATTGCCTGGCTACCTATGAGGGTTGCTCCACTCAACAAATGTACATGGCACATGGTGTGATAGAAGACCCATGGGCTCCCCCATCAGCCTGTTACAAGTAAACCAGAAGTTCCCACCAGTGGAGCCACTACTTTGGGTAAACAAGTTGCCTTTAGCAAGACCTGTTTTGAAATACACGGGTTCATTTTTATTTGACCAAAATCTCATGAGTACCTACTATAAGCAAAGAACTATTTTAGATGCTGGGCTAGGGTCACAAAGGAAAAGAAGATATGATCAATACCCTCAAGAGACTTTACTTTCTGGTGAAGGAGGAGAGCATGGGGGACATACATAGGTTAAAGGTTGCATTAAATCAAGGCTGTATTGTATAGTGATTTTACATATATATATATATATATTGCCCAGTTTTCCCACTATTTATGAAGAGATGTCTTTGCCTCCCTTTGTATTCTTGGCTCCTTTGTCATAAATAATTGATCACATAAACATGAGTTTATTTTTGACTTTTGAGTCTTTTCCATTGGTCTACAGTGGTCTGTTTTTATGCCAGTACTATACTGTTTTGATTACTGTAGCTTTGTAATGTAGTTTGAAATCAGGGAGTATGATACTTTCAGCTTTCTTCTTGTTTTTCAAGATTACTTTGGTTATTTGGGGTCTTTTATGTTTCTGTACACATTTTAGAATTATTTGTCCTGATTCTGTGAAAAATGCCATTGGTATTTTGATAGAGATTGCATTGAGTCTATAGATTGCCTTGGGGAATATGGTCATTTTAGCAATATTAATTCTTCTAATCCATGAATGTGGTATATCTTTCCATTTGTTTGTGTTGTCTTCAATTAGTTTCATAAATGTCATAATGTTCAGAGTACAGATCTTTTACCTCCTTGATTAGACTTATTACTAGGTATTTTATTTTATTCCCAGGAATTTATTCTTTTTGATGCAGCTGTTAATGGGATTATTTTAATTTCCCTTTCTTACAGTTCATTATTAATGAACATAACAGATTTCTGTATATTAATTTTGGATTCTGCAACCTTACTGAATTCATTTACTAGTTCTAATAGCTTTTTTATGGCATCTTTAGGACTTCCTATATACAGTCTCATGTTATCTGTAATCAGTGACAGTTTTTCTTTTTCTTTTCTGATTTGGATTCCTTTTATTTCTTTTTCTTATGTGATTACTATGACTGGGACTTCCAATACTATGTTGTATGAAATTGTCTTGTTCCTGATCTTAGCAGAAATGCTTTCAGCTTTTCACCATTTGTATGATGTTAGCCATATGATATGGCCTTTATTCTGTTGAATTATGTTCCCTCTGTATGCATTCTGTTGAGAGTTTTTTAAAATTATAAATGGATGTCAGATTTTGTCAAAAGCTTTCTATGCATCCATTGAAATGATTACACAATTTTATTCTTTAATTAGTTAATATGACATATCACATTCACTGATTTTCAGATACTGAATCATTTTTGCATCCCTTGGATTAAATCCCGCTTCATCATGATGCATGATCTTTTTAGTGCATTGTTGAATTCCATTTGCTTATATTTTGTTGAGGACAGTTTTGCATCTATGTTCATCAAGGATATTGGCCATAATTTTCTTTTTCGTGGTGTCTTTGTTTGCTTTAGGTGTAAGTGTGATGCTGGCCTCATAGATGAATTCAGAAGCATTCCTTCCTCTGCAAATTTTTGATGTGAACTCTTCTTTAAATGTTTTCTAGAATTTACTTATAATCTGTCTGGTCCTGGGCTTTTGTTCATTGCAAATTTGTAAAGTTACTGCTTCAGTTTCATTCTTGATAATTGGTCTGTTCATGTTTTCAATTTCTTCCTGATTAAGTCTGGGAAGATTGTATGTTTCTAGGAATTTATCCATTTCTTCTAGATTGTCCATTTTATTGTCCATATAATTGTTTGTAGTAATCTCTTGTGATCCTTTGTATTTCTGTGATGTCAGTTGTAACTTCTCTGGTTTCATTTCTGATTTTATTTATTTGAGACTTCTTTCTTTGTTTCTTGATGAGTCTGGCTAAATACTTATCAGTCTCTATTTTATTTATTTTTGCTCTGATCTTTATTGTTTCTTTCCCTCTACTAACTTTAGGCTTTGTTGTTCTTTTTCCAATTCCTTTAGGTATAAGGTTAAGTTGTTTATTTGAGACTTTTCTTGCTTCCTGAGGTAGGCCTGAAGCTCCCTGTTAGAACTGCTTTTGATATGTCTTCTAGATTTTGGATTATTGTGTTTCCATTTTCATTTGTCTCCAGGTATTTTTTATTTCCTCTTTGATTTCTTCAGTGACCTATTGGTTGTTTAGTAGAATATTGTTTAGCCTCCATGTTTTTTTGTTTTTTTGTTTTTTTTTTTTTGCAGTTTTTCTTGTAGTTGATTTCTGGTTTCATCTTGTTATAGTTTGGAAGATACTTAATACAGTTTAAATCTTTTTAAATTTATTGAGGCTAGTTCTGTGGCCTATCATGTGATCTACCCTGGGGAATAGTCCATGTGTGCTTGAAAAAAGTGTGTATTCTGCTCCTTTTGGATTCAGTGTTCTACCAGTCAGTCAGTCAGTTAGTTCAGTTGCTCAGTCATGTCCGATTCTTTGTGACCTCAGGGACAGCAGCATGCTAGGCTTCCCTGTCCATCACCAACTTCTGGAGCTTGCTCAAACTCATGTCCATTGAGTCGGTGATGCCATCTAACCATCTCATTCTCTGCTGTCCCTTTCTCCTGCTTTCAATCTTTTCCAGCATCAGGTTCTTTTCTAATAAGTCAGTTCTTTGCATCAGGTGGCCCAAGTATTGGAGCTTCAGCTTCACCATCAGTCCTTCCAATAAATATTCAGGACTGATTTCCGTTAGGATTGACTGGTTTGATCTCCTTGTAGTCCAAGGGACTCTCAAGAGTCTTCTCCAACACCACAGTTCAAAAGCATCATTTCTTTGTCACTCAGCTTTCTTTATAGTTCAACTCTCACATCAATACATGACTACAGGAAAAACCATAGATTTAACTATATGGACCTTTATATATCTATTAAGTCTATCTGGTCTAATATGTCATTTACAGCCAGTGTTTCCTTACTGAATTTTTGACTATATGATGTATCTGTTGATGTAAGTGATATGTTAAAGCCTCCTATTATTGTACTATATTATTGTATTACTGTCAGTTTTCCATATGCTGGTAATATTTTCTGTATGTATTTAGTGCTCCTATGTTAGATGTATATATACTTTTAGTTGTTATATCTTCTTAATGGATTGTTCTCTTTATCATTATATACTGTCTGTCTTTGTCTATTGTTACAGTCTTTGTTTTAAAATCTACTTTTTCTAATCTTCTTCTGGGGGCTTTCTTGTTCCGTTGTTTGGCATTATTTCCCTGCCCCTCATTTTGAATAATTCTGTCTTTTAATTTTTGTGCATTTTGTAGCTTGGAAATGTTTCCCAATCTGAGAGAAGTGGCCTTATATAGCAGATATCTATGGGGCCCAGTAGCATACACCCTTCTGGTCACCAGAGCTATATACTCTAGTTGTGCCTTCCACTTGGGCTACATGGGCCTTTCTGTTGTGGCAGGGCCAACGACTGTGGAGGTGCTGGTAGGTGGGGCTGGTCCCTGGCCTGGTTGGTTGCCAGGCCCTACCTAATGCGGAGGCTATCAGCTTACTGATGGGCAGGGCTGGGATCCAGGGCAGCTGGTTGCAAAAGTTGGGCATCCCAGGGTTTGACAATTGTTTTAGTCACCTTTCTCTCTGTTTCTAGGCAACAGCATGGGAATGTCCAGTTTGGAGAAAGACCATCTTGGTCAGGAAGAAGATGTATATCACACAGTGGATGATGATGAGGCCTTTTCAGTGGACTTGACCAACAGGCCCCCTGTCCCAGTGCCCAGACCAGAGGCCAGCGCATCTGCCACTCACCAGCTATCTGACAATGAATCATACATTTCTAAAGGCAAGTGTGGCAGGGAATGATGCCACGTGGGGTCTTCAGGGCCTCTCAGCAGGAATTCCCTGGATCCTCTACCTCCTGAATTATTGCTCAGAGAATATTCCCTCCTGAATGGTCTCCAACCAGTCCCTGGAGACAGGGTCAGAGTTTGGGGCAGATTATGGAACTAGACTAGGGGCAGTGGTCAGATTCAGTTCTGGCCTTCCTGTAGGAATTGGCGCATAATGGGAAGATAGAGATAAATAAGATGTCTCTCTACTCCAAATAGCAAGATCCCTGGTAATTGTTATCTCCTGAAACTATTATTATTATTATTATTAATTTTCAATATTTAACATTTATTGAAAGCTACTGAGTGCTTTATTTGGAATATGCCATAATAATCTATTAGGTACAGGCCATTATCATTTCCATTTTACAGATGAGAAAAGTGGAGGCTTACAGAGGTTGCTTGATAACCATGTAGCAGAGCTAGGATTTGAATTCAGGGAGTCTCTCTCTACAACCTTGGTTTTCAATCACAATGCTAGGCTATCTACCTACCTACCTACATTGATAAAAGTTGATGATAATTGAGTTTTGAGTTCTTCACAATGACCTGTGGGACATTAGATGCTCATAGCATTGTAAGTTTCACTATCTTTCAGAACTTGATTTTATTAATATGATTACAAGTACTCTAAGAGTATAAGAATTGCCAGATCTGTGCACTTGACCTCCATTTCATGTTTAATAGTATAACAGGTTGTGGAAGGTATGGCAAAACATTATAAACTGGGAAGATAGCCCTCAATCAGAGGGCTGTGGTTGTCAAATAAAATACAACCATACCTCATTAAGTATGAATTCCAGAAAAACGGCACTCTTTTTTTCAGTCTTTATTTTGGTTTGTTAAATCCAGCAATCCGAAGTTGGGTGGGAATGCAGTGGAAGGGTGTTTCCGTCTTGTCTAGCGCCCTCAGTCCTCATGGTTTGCCATGATGGTCCGGCTCATTGTGGGAGTTCAGTTAGAAGGGGCACAGGCAATTCCTAAAGAGCCCTGGAGGACTTGCTAGGACATTGTGGAGAGCAAAGGAAAGGAGAGAGGCAGGAGATGACAAAAGGGCAATGGTTAGGAGGCCAGAACCTCTGGGTTCAAGTCTCAGCTCCTTGCATTTTTCAATTCTACAAAATGAGACATTGGGTAAATCATTTCACCCTCTTTAGTTTTAGTTTCCTCACCTATGAAATACATATCATAATAATATATTTATAAATTTATGCCTAGTAATATACTCTGTCAGAACCTTATTATGAAGGTCAGATGAGATAATACATGGGAGTTCAGTTCAGTTGCTCAGTCGTGTCCAACTCTTTTCGACCCCATGAACTGCAGCACACCAGGCCTCCCTGTCCATCACCAACTGCCAGAGTCTACCCAAACCCATGTCCATTGAGTCGGTGATGCCTTCCAACCATCTCAACCTCTGTTGTCCCCTTCCCTTCCTGCACTCAATCTTTCCCAGCATCAGGGTCTTTTCAAATAAAGCATTATATAGACATCCTATCTCTTATTGGGATTTCTGTCCTATTGGCATCAATCTCAAGGTTTAGATATGAATAATGATAATAAAGGGCTTCCCAGGTAGCTCAGAGGGTAAAGAATCTGCCTGCAATGCGGGAGACATAGGAGATGCAGGCTTGATCCCTGGGTTGGAAAGATTTCCTGGAGAAGGAAATGCCAACCCACTCCAGTATTCTTGCCTAGAGAATTCCAGAGGAGCCTGGTGGGCTACAGTCCATGGGGCTGCAAAGAGTCAGACATGACTGATGTGACTGAGCACGCACGCAATGATAATAAAAGCTAACATGAAGTGCTTACACATGCCAGGCACTGTTCTAAGCACTTTCCATATATTAACTCATATAATCCCCACAACAACCCATAGCCAAGGGAACAATATCAGCCTCATTCTACAGATCAGAAAACTGAGGCAAGAAGAGTTCATGCCTCTTGCCTTAGGTCATGTGGCTCATAAATGGTAGAGCCAGGCTTTAAATGCAGGGAGTCATGTGCAGAGCCCAAGGAGCCTTAATCCCTTGTTAATCCTACCACTGAGTGAACGTCTGTCACTTCCTAGTGTTCCCTACGAGCCTTTATGGATTCCTCGAGCATGAATGACATCATCTAAGTCACTTTGGAGCCTTGCACACATTTTACATGTCCCACTGCTCTGAGTGCTGTCCTATGGCACTTGTTGACATGTTAAGTGGCACTTCCTTTTATTCGTAAACTTTGGGGTGTTCCATGGCTTGCTTCAAATATTCAAGGATCCAGCACACATCCTTGTTCACTTTACCCTTTTCTTTAATGATCTCATAAATGCCGATGGTGTCCTCTGGCTGGCTTTGTCTTTCTGGTCTGAGACCTTGTCTGTTTGATCTGTCTTCATGTTGTAATCCCTAGGGCTTCCATTCTTTGGTTGCCTCCTTTAAAGGGGCTTGTCTGGTGGCTCAGTGGTAAAGAATCTGCCTGCAATGCAGTAGACTCAGGTTCAATCCCTGGGTCGGGAAGATCTCCTGGAGAAGGGAATGGCAACTCATTCCAGTATTTGAGGAGCCTGGCAGGCTACAGTCCACAGGGTCACAAAGAGTCAGACCCAACTGAACAACTAACACTTCACTTTCTAGAATTTTGATTTTTAGAACTGTGTACAATGGTCCAAGTTGTGATCCATTATTATTGATTTTGGACAAGATTTTTTTTGGTAATTTTTCTGCTAAATGTATAAAATATTATAAAGCTTCTTAGAAAGAGGTACTATTTGGCTTTACTTAGAATACTCTTTATCTCATAGTTTTTGCAGAAAAAAGTCAAGAGAGGCCTGGGAATTTCTATGTTACCTCAGAGAGCATCAAGAAAGGTAAGCAGATGTCCTCAACTTTCTTTCTTAGGACCTGGACTTCTTGGTGGTGGCAGTGTTCATGTTTCAGAGATTTCCAGGTGTAATCACTCCTTATCCTTGAAAAACAGAGGTTCAAGAAATACCTGAAGGGGAACTGAACTGAAGGTGAAGGGAGAAGAGAAGAGATTGAGGTGACTTAGAACATTGTACAAATTGATCATACAAAATGACTTTAGTACCCGAGAAAGTGTCTGAAACAGCACACTAAAATACTATTTAGACATCCAACAGGATGAAAGTGGGCAGCCCAGCACCCAGTCTTTTCCTAGTGATCCAGCCCTACCGTGCTATTTACCTAGGCTATCTGTATTAGCTAAAGTATACTTTAATTCACCTTTTATTTGAGGCTTTTGTTTGCCACTGGGTGACATTTTTTTGAAAGGTTTTTAAAGGAAGTTTGAAGAGATAAGTGCTCTTTTGTTCTTGATGCATTTCCTTGTGCTAAGCAGAGGCATTCAGTAGTATCCCATTGATGATTCTTTTGAAAAGGAGCCATGACACCATCTAAAGACGGAAAGCATCCCTAAAGACCTTGCTCATAGGAGACTGGAACTGACTGACTTGTGCATTTTCATTTTGTCCCCACACTCCATCTCCCAATATAATTAAAGGTCACAGGGCAAACCTGGGAGAAGGTGTGTGAGTGTGTGTGGACAGAGAGAAGGTGGGTAAGGATGATGTGTATGTTCCTTTGAAGCTTTTGCAGTACCCACTGGGTGAAGTCATCTCTCTTTTTCCTTCATGCCACCTCCTTGAGTCACAATGTCCAAATGGGGTCCTCCTGGAGACGTTTAGAATCAAAGATAGCCCCACAGGAAGTGAGCAGTGAAATGTCACGTTTTCATGTGTTTCAATGGCTCCATCACTTCCACAAGTCTAGCTCACTCCCCACAGAACCTAGAGGAGCCACACAGCCTGGAGAGAGAGGAGTTGGCGTCATACTTCCCTAGAACATCTAAAGCAGAGAATTATATACTTTTAAGGTGGAAGGGAGGTTGGCACATGAACAACCCAAGGAGACTCACTTGGGACCCAGCACCTAATTTTTACCTGGTGACTTTGGACCTGGGTCATGATCCCATTAGCCTTCCAGGAGTCTGCTCAGGCATTTCACACCTGTTGGTTCACAGTCACTGTGCCCTATGCTGCTTCCAGGCAGGCAGGATGGGGGAGGGCTAGAAGTGCTGGGAGAAGCATCCTGGTTAGCCTTTCCTGTATAGTCTCTTCTGGGAGGATTTTAGTCTGAATCAGTGGTTCTCAGCTCGGGGTGATTTCTCCTCCACTCGCCAGCACCGCGCCACCCTGCCATTTGGCAACACCTGGGACATTTGTTTACAAGATTATTTATTTATTTGGACTGCACTGGGTCTTCTTGCTGCGCCCAGGCTCTCTTCAGTTGTGGTGAGCAGGGCCTACTCTCTACTTGTGTGGGGGCTTCTTGTTGGGGGTGGCTCCTCTTGTTGCAAATCATGGACTCTTGGGCATGTGGGCTCAGTAGCTGCATCTCTTGGGCTCTAGAGCACAGGCCCAGTAGCTGTGATGCATAGACTTAGTTGTCCCATGGCATGTGGAAACTTCCCAGAGCAGGGACAGAACCTGTGTCCCCTGCATTGGCAGGAAGATTCTTAACCACTGGACCACCAGGGAAGCCCTGGGACATTTTTTTGTTGTGGCAGCTCAGTAAGGAGATGCTATTATCATCAAGTGGGTAGAGGCCAGGTATGAGGTTAAACATCCTACAGTGTACAAGCCAGCCGACCCCAACCAAGAATTACCTAGTCTGAAATGTCAATAGTGCCGAGGTTGAGAAACGCTGGTCTAAAGACTTCTCAGTAATTCATGTTGACTCATCTACTGGATGCTGCGTGCCTACATGTGTGCTAAGTCATTCAGTTGTGTCCAGCTTTTTATGACCCCATGGACTGTAGCCCACCAGGGTCCTCTGTCCATGGGATTCTCCAGACAAGAATACTGGAGTGGGTTGCCATGCCCCTCTCCAGAGAATCTTCCCCACCCAGGGACTGGACCCACATCTCTTATGTCTCTGTATTGGCAGGCGGGTTCTTTACCACCAGCCACACCTGGGAAGGCCCCCTGGTTGCTATACCTTTCTAAAATGTTGTGACCTTGTCTACTTTAGTGTCATAGGCTTTGAAATTATTAGCTGCTTCCCTCTCTCTGATTCCATGTAGCATCTCCCTTGTCTTGATTCTACATGTGATTGTTCTTCTGAGACATGTCCTCTTTAACCCACGGCCAGCATCATGAACCCCACTCACCCGGTCAGCTCTCTCCAGTGGAGGAGCCTGGAAACTGAGTTTCTCTTTCCTTTCCAGAGCCACCTGTCAGACCGTGGAGGGACAGGCCTCAGTCGAGCATATATGATCCCTTTGCTGGGATGAAAACACCAGGCCAGCGGCAACTCATTACCCTCCAGGAGCAGGTGAAGCTGGGCATCGTCAATGTGGATGAGGCCGTGCTGCACTTCAAAGAGTGGCAGCTCAACCAGAAGAGGCGGTCAGAGTCCTTCCGCTTCCAGCAGGTAACTGGCTCCGGATGGACTTCGTTTCATGTCTGTCTCTCTGCTGGACAGTACAGAAGGGCTGAGTCCATGGCTGTCCTGTGTACTGCTGTAACAGCACACCCGGAGCTGGGTCTGAGAACGTTTGTTTGAGACTCATGGTGAGTCAGTGCATACTTGGATTTGTCACCTGTTGTCTGTAACCATATGGCTCCCTGGCCGAGAGCTGGTTGGCCTTTCTTGGTGTCATGAGGCTCCAGATCAGGAACCGAGACTCAATTATAACCCCCAGTTCTATACCTGCCACTTCCCTCTGCATGTGGCCCTATGCTTTTGCTTTCTAGCTTTTTGCTTTTCAGAGGCCTTCTCTCTACTCCTAGTGCCGACACTCCCACAGAACTATCACACTTTAGAACTCAGAGAACTTGGATAGCTCCCAAGAATTATGCTTAAGTGAACAAAGCAAGTCACTGACATAAAACCACTCAAGTTAAAACACACTCTCCTATATACACACCCACCTCCTGCCCCCCCCACCCCCACACACACAGATGCACACACACAAACTATAGGCATGTTTGCAAATGCAAAGATCTGGAAAGGATGACCCCACACCCACCCCAGTGGTTACCACTCAAGAGGAAACTGGGATTAGAGGACTGGGCTGTCAGGAGGCTCCTGCTGTTACATGAGGACATGTAACTCCACACAGTGACACATGGGAATGTGAGTCCTAAAGCTGCATTTGTCCAGCTCTGACAGCAGTCTGTGGCACCGTGCTAAGTGCCAAGTGGACCCAGTCTCCTCCACCCCTCACAGCAGGCATAGACATAAGTGTCACTGGGCTTCCCTGGTGGCTCAGATGATAAAGAATCTGCCTGCAATGGAGGAGACCTGGGTTCACTTCCTGGATAGGGAAGATCCCCTGGAGAAGAGAATGGCTACCCATTCTTGCCTGGAGAATTCCGTGGACTAAGGAGCCTGGTCGGCTACTGTCCGTAGGGTCGCAAAGAGTCAGACGCAGCTGAGCTACTAACACTTTCCCTTCACTTTACAGAAAACTGAGGCTCAGAGAGGTGGGGAGGCAGAGTCAGGCTTCAAAGGAAACCTTTCTCATTTCAGAGCCTGTGCCCCCTTCTCAACGCTGTGCCTGCCCTCTGAGTGCTCCTAAAGCAGGGTCACCCTCTCTCCCAGGCTGTCTCCCTCCCTCTGGGGGTCTGGATGCAGAAACCCAGGGCCCTCCTCACCCAGGAGACCCAGGGAGGCTGCAGTACTGCTGGGAACAGGCTGGTCTTGGCCAAACACTGGTCTTCTGAGTCCTTGCCAAGTTGGTGCCATGCAGCATGGTCATCAGGAGTAGCCAGGGCTCCAGAGCCAGGCAGCCTGAGTTCAGCCTTACTCTGCCTGTTTGGACTGGACGACCACAGCCTCTCTGTACCTCTGCTTTCCCATCTCTGAAGTGTGAAGGGAGAGGGCCTTGTGAAGCCCTTGGCATGCCTGGCACATAGTAAATGCTGAGAGTCCTCCATGCTCTGATTGCCTCCTGGCACTTACAAAGCCAAGGAGTCCAAGGACTGGACAGTGGGAAGACCATACCAGGGGCCGCCCCGTTGTGCCTCATCTTCCTCTGTCTCTCTCCCACACCTCCCCTCTCGTGAGCAGGCACTTTCCCTTCAGCTCCTTCTCTCTTCAGGTGACTCTTGCATCTGTGTCTCTGGTAACATCTTTTCAGCCACCAGCTGGGCATGTCCCCCGAGGTATCCTAGACCTGCAGCACATCCAACAACACACAGTCCCTTGAGGCCTCTTCCCTGTCCTGACTCCCTGTGTCTGTTCACCTATTGTTACCTTCCAGAGGCTGATGTCCAGACTTCAGACTCTCTTGGGCTCTTTTCCACACTCCCCCGTATCCAGCCAGCTGTGTGTCTTGCTTGGTCTTGCTCGGTGCGTTCTTCCTCTTGCCTCTGCTCCTGTCTTTGCGCTCCCTCTGTCACATCCTCATGCTGACCTGTATCACCTCCATCTGCCCTATCACATCGTCTTCAGGTGGGTCTCCTTGCCTCCAACTCCTTCCCCCTCCTCTCTGCCCGACCTTAAAGCTATGGCCAGCCCCCAACTTCCAGTGTCTCCCTGCTGCTTCCTGGACCAAGTTCAGTCTCTCAGCTACAGTCACAACCCAACCAGTCTTTCTGTTCTGCCTCTGTGGCTGCCCCACAGGAACGTTCTGCTCCAGCCAGATGGTCTGAGTGTTAGTCCCTGGGGCATTTCAGACACTTAACTTCAAGGTGATTGTTGTTTATGAACTAAAATAACAACAAATATTCCTCCTCACATGTCTGTTTAACATTTATTGAATGACTGTGATAGCCTAAACAGCAGGATTACAGGAAGGTGCAAGACCTGGTCTCTTGCCCTTTAAGAGCTCACAGTGCCTCTGAAGAGACTACACACACACACACACACACACACACACACACACACACACGGCAAGGCATCATAACCCAGTGCCACAGGGCATGGGACAGTCTGGTGTCAGGGGAGGTGGTTTAGAAGGTGGGCCTTGATCCAGACTTGGAACAGAGTCATGGAATAGTGTCCCTCAAGGTCGGGGGAATGTACGAGAACACGGTCTCAGAGGTGGGAATGAGGGTAGAGAGCTTGTAAGCAGGTAGGAGATTGGCCTGTCTAAGGGGCATGCAAGGTGGGGGTGGGTTATAAGACTGGGAAGGAACTGGGAACCAGAGAGGAGGGGAAACCCTTTGTTGTGGGCAAGACGTCTTCTCTTCAGGCATAGCTTCTAAGAGGACTTGAATTTCTCTGGGAGCTGGTTGCAAATGCACTCAGCCTCATTTGCATGTTGGAAATGTTATTGCAATGTGATATATCTTACAAATGTCATAAAATCAGAAAGAATCTCTAATGCCTAGAGGGTATAATTCTGGTGTATATTTTTAAAAACAAACTAAATTTTTCCAGGAAAATCTTAAACGACTAAGAGAGAGCATCACCCGAAGACAGAGAGAAAAGCAAAAATCAGGAAAGCAGACAGGTATGTGGCTTCCCGAGGCTGCTGTATGCTGGGGGACTTTGCTATGGTCTGTTTTCCTTGACTCTCTTTTCTGCTGGGGCCTGAATGGGCAGACCACTTGCCCAGCACCTGTCACCCTCTTTGTAGATCTGGGTCCCCCAGTAGGCTGTAAGGTCTTTTGGAACAACAACTTTGTCTTGTTAATTCTGTAAATCTAGTACCTGGCTGGCACATAAGGCATGTCAGCAAATGAAAGAAAGGAAAGCTTGAACTCTGTATGATTCCCTCCTCCCATGAAAGAGGACGATAATGCTTTCTCCCAGGCACCTGACTCTCCCCTTGGCATTTAGGAAGACATGTTTCTCTGAGCAGAGAAAGGAGAAAGTCCCATTCATGTAGTGTCAGTATCTGGTTCAAGCAGGTCTACTGTGTCATCAGTGTCCACACCACACGCTGCTTTGGAAGCCCGGTTCTCAGGTGCAGCAGAGCTCCTGCCATGTGTAGTGGAGGTCCAATAGCAGGGCCATGGATTCCAGTTGTGTGCACTGAGAACCCTCTGCTCCCCTTGACCCTCCCTCCTCCAGGTGCTACCCGTGTGGCACCACCATCCCTGGGCAAGGAGTGGGCAGAAGGTCAGACGGGTCATCCTCAGACTCCTGCTTGGGTGACGAGGTTTTAAATGTGTGCTGCCACTAGCCACACTCATACTTGTCTGCCTTCTCGTTGGGAAGAGGACAAAGGAGAGGAGGAAGAAAATCTAGTTCAAGAGCTGTATTCATCCTAGGATCAGACGGCAGGGTACCTGGTGGTAGAGGGCAGAGGTGCTTTTTAAAACTAGAACACATGAACCATGGGACATCCCTGGTGGTCCAGTGGTTAGGACTCCATGCTTCCACTGTAGAAGGTCATGGGTTTGAGCCCTGGTTAGGGGACTAAGGTCCCACAATCTGCACAACATGGCTGAAAAAAAAAAGAAGAAGAAGAAGACTTGACTGAATGAAACATTTCAAGCTTTTAAATATACGTAGTGTCAAAAAAGCTGTGATTTGGCAGGGCATGTGGGGCTTCCTTGGTGGCTCAGTCGGTAAAGAATCCACCTGCAATGTGGGAGACCTGGATTCTATCCCTCCATTGGGAAAATCCCCTGGAGGAAGGCATGGCAACCCACTCCAGTATTCTTGCCTGGAGAATCCCCAAGGAGCCTGTTGGGCCACAGTCCATGGGGTTGCAAAGAGTCAGACACAACTGAGCGACTAAGCACACACACCCACAGCTGATTTGGGAGGTGATCCTGGGGAGCAAGGTAGGGGTTGGGGAAGTGAGAGAGGAAGAAAAGGTGGCCTGCAGCCTGCAGTTAGCACCATGGAGACTGCAGCTTCATCTCCGCACAGACGCTAGGAGTCAACGGAGAACACTTTGGAATGGTTATCTTTCCCATGGGGCATTTAGACACCAGCTCCTGTGTCTTTGGGTGAGGCCTGCTGGGAGATGGGGGTTTGGAATATGGCTCCCAGAGAAAGCTCATGCAGGTGGAAGCTGGACCCTGCACTACCTGGCAAGGCCCCCGGGCATCAGAGCATCTGCCAAAGCAAAGGAGTCATTTGTGGCTGAGTAAATGTGATGTATTAGTTAATTGCATAAAGCTCAATTGTATATTTAGTGACATACTAACTTAAAATTGCCTATTCCAGGGTTTTCACATTCAGGTGCCCCAGCACTGGTGCCTCCATGCTTATAGGGGTAGCAGGTAGGAACAGGGTGGCAGTTAGGGATGGGGTAGGGGGTAGATTAAGAATATGGGACAGGACTTGGGGCCCCTTACTCTGCTTCAACCATTGCAACTCCTTTACAAAAAAATCTGTTTCCATTTTGAGCTTCTGTTTTCTTTAGAGGAAAGAATTCTGCTTTACAGAAAACAAAAAAAACATTTGAAAATCATCCACACAGGATAACATTGACCTATAGGAGAATTAGGGCTGATGAATGGCATTTCTGCTTGAACAATCTTTTCCAGGAATGGAGGCCACCCCACTCAAGGACTGACTCTATTCATTTGGAAACTTCATTTGCCTTAGAAAAGAAAAACAATGATGATTCTTCTTTAATTTGGGTTAAAAGACAAAGGACGATTAAGAAGTAACAGTCTGTTCATAACTTGCCAGTCTGTTCTCAGCCCTGGAAGTTGGTTTGCTCTCACTGAGACAGTGCAGAGCACTGATAGTGTAGGAAGTCAGAAGAGGGCTGGCTGGCTCAGGACTTATTGAATGCCCTGGCCCCACAGAGAAGAATACCAATATTTGTGTTCTGGGTGTGTCTGTGGTCAGTGCAGGGTGGGACCTGGAGGAGCAGGCTGGGTCCCAGGAAGCCTGGGTTCTGATCCCAGCTTTGTCTCCAAATCATTTCATGATCCAAGACTTTTCCATTAACCACTTCATGCCTCAGTTTCCCCATCTGTGGTCACACCCGGTTTATCTGCTTAACAGAGTTGTTGTTTAGTCACTAAATTGTGTCCAACTCTTTGTGGCCCCATGGACTGTAGCTTGCCAGGCTCCTCTGTCCGTGGGATTTCCCAGGCAAGAATATTGGAGTGGGTTTGCCGTTTCCTTTTCCAGGGGATCTTCCTGACCCAGGCATCATACCCGCATCTCCTGCATTGGCAGGAGAGTTCTTTACTACTGAAACATCAGAAAAGCCCACTTTTACCAGAGTAGCAAAGTTCGGAGAAGGAATATTAGCACATGTGAATGCACTTTGGAAAAAGTGCTTCCCAGTATAGTGATGATAATTATTTTTCCTGACATTGTTCCTCTGTTCAAAGAATATCAGGATTTTGTGGACATTTAGCCTGGTTCTTCTTGATTTTTTTGAACTTTGACTCCCAACTTTTTTCTTCTGTATTTTACTTACCTTTCCTTGAACTGGTTGTGAGCTGAAAACTGATTCATTGACGTGAATTAAGCAGTCACGAATTTACCTTGAAGATTGTCATTAAAAACCTCAGTCAAAGCTGAGGGGGAGAAATGTGTTACCAGTTTGGGCTCTGAGACACTGGGTTCACACCCATGTGTGGGTTCACTGACTAGTCTCTGCCCATGCATTTTCAAGCTTGGGCACCCAAGCGGTGGGTGCTTCCACTGCTCAGTTATAACCAAAAGAGGCTAAGGATATGAAAAAGATCTGTGTTACACAGAGGTCTGGAAAGCTAGGACCATACACTACCCTTGGGTTGAGGGTTTCTAGAATGAGGCAAGCTCGAGCCCATGCAAGCCAGCAATCCACTGTTTTAATACTCTCCATGCAGAATGTTGAGCACAAGCTCCATCCACCCCATCCTCACCCCCGCTCTTCCCTGCTGTGCTAGTTTACACGTTCACCTTTCTTGGCAGACCTCTGGCTTTGGCAGGTGCCACACTCCCTAGACTTCCTGCCACACCTGCTCCCTAGCAGAGGGAAGGCAGAGGAGCAAATAGTTCCTTGAGATGAAGGGCACACATACCCAAAAGCCCACCCACACTTACACCTCTTCCTAAAGTCTCTGCCCTGAGACTTGGGAAGGTCTGGGGCCTCATGGGGAGCGCTGTGACAGGAGCTCAGCTGACCTTCACACTTCCCTGGGGAGGAAGCTGGGTTGGGCACCCACAGATACTTTGTTCTACTTGTCAGCTGGAGTTGTTCTCTGCTCATAGCAACCAGGGGTGGAAATCCCCAGGCGGGGGGTGGGGGGGTGGGGGGTGGGGGGGGTGGGCGGTGGCGGCGGGGCGGGGAAGAAAGACCAGTCACTGGTCAGGCTAAGCCAGTGAAGAGGCCAGGTTAATGCTTTGCAGGACAAAGGAATTATTTTGCTGAATCTGTGTGGTCTCAAACTACTGATCAGCCTTGCAAGTCACAAAATTTTTTGGACCTTATGGACCTCTTGCCATGAATTCTCTGGATCATTTCTGTCATTGTGGACCACCCACCCTCCATATGGGAGGCAGTCTGAGTCCTTAAGGCCCTGGACTTTGGAGCCTGGGTTCACATTCCAGCTATCCCACTTACCACTGCTTGACGGGGACTTGGGGCATGCTGCTTCACGTCTCTATACCTTAGTTTCTATTGAGCATGCTGACAATAGTATTTATTTCATGGCTGTTTGAGGATTGAAGAAGCTAAGGGTATGGAGGCTCTTGGAACTATGCATGACATGCAGGATAACCTAGAATTATAATCAATGGCATTAGTAACCGCTCCTTAGAAAAGGAAGAAATCAGAAGGGTTGGCTGACTAACTCAAGTTCCACAGTTGGCAAGTGGCAGAGCTGGGGCACCCACGAACGTGTTAGTCTCTCAGTCATGTTAACTCCTTGCAACCCCATGGACTATAGCCCGTCAGGCTCCTCTGTCCATTAAATTCTCCAGGCAAAAATACTGGAGTGGGTGGCCATTCCCTTCTCTAGGGCACCTTCCTGACCCAGGGACTGAACCCCAGTCTGCTGCACAGCAGATGAATTCTTTACAGTCTGAGCCACCAACCTTTCCCTAATTGCACATTCTTTCTGTCACCTGATGCAAAAGCATTTCTCTGCCCTTTCCCACATTCTTCCAGCCAACCTTCTGTCAGTGATTGCCACGCATGGTTCTGCGGAGCTTTGGTGCTGAATTGGGCAGGGGCCCCTCCCTCCTCCCTCTCCCCTTCTCCCCTCCCGTCCCCTCTTCCCCTCCTCTCCTTCCCCTCCCCTCCAGGTTCAGGGGAAGGAAGCCGGTAGAGAGGAAGCAGCTCGCAGTTTGGTAACTGGCATCCCGGTTCCTTAAAGCTGATCCCTTTCTCTCTAATTCCAGACTTGGAGATCACAGTCCCAATTCGGCACTCACAGCACCTGCCTGGGAAAGTGGAGTATGGAGTCTATGAGAGTGGCCCCAGGAAAAGCATCTTTCCCCCAAGGACAGAGCTAAGACGAGGAGACTGGAAAACAGACAGTACCTCCAGCACAGCAAGTAAGCAGGTGGCCCCCAGGTGTCTTCACAGCTGGCCCCTAGGCGCCTTCACAGCTGGACTCCAGCAGGTGCCTTTGGGTCTTGGAAACATGCCCTATGATGAGCCCAGAAGATCTTAACTGGAGCCTGGTTTGGGCCGAGGAGGTGTAAGAAACGAGGGACATTTAGCCTATGAGGTTTGCCTTTTTTTTAGGGCACAGAAGACTGTTTACACAAATATCCCCAGAAGGCAGATTGTGTGATAATTATTACTCTATCACTTTTATAAATGAAAAACCCTAGTAATAATACTGGTTAATATTTATTGAGCATTTACTATATGCTAAGCCTCTTCCACAGATTCTCTGATTTAATCACTCTGCAGGATAGGTACTATCACCTCTATTTACTGAGGAGGAAACAGGCAGCTTAGTGCCTTCCTCTAGGTTAAATAGCCACCAAGGGGTAGCGCTTGGATTTGAACTCAGGCAGGACTGGATCAGGGTCAAGACTCTTGCTTACTCTTCTTTTTGCTTCAGCCGTGGTCAGGGAAAGGAAAGGGCACAGAGTCAAAAACATTAGGTAACAGTGGATTCAGATTTGAGAATTCCAACTGGATAGGCAATTGAGGATCTGATTTGGAAATGTCTTCCTTTTGGCTTGAGAGCTTGAATAGGAGTCTGATTGCAACAGACAATACCCGCTGATATGCGGCAGGAGCTGGGGCTTTGTTTCTGGATCCAGGGCAATGTTCACTGACTTCAGACACGCCAGCTTCACAAGCCAAATAGATTGAGTCTCCCTGCTTTCATACATTTCAGTGTTAACAAAGGTGGCTAGGGGGAAAAAATAAAAGAGCGAGAGACAAGCTGAATTTCATGACCTAATATTTCTCCTTAAATGTCAGGTGGAAGACTGCCATGTGGAGGTAGGAACTGGAAGCTCATCTAACCCAGGGCTTCTTTATCTTTTCTGTACCACAAACCCCTTTGAGAACCTGACATATGCTCTAAATGTCCTCCCTATATAAAAATACACTTGCACGTGTTCACACACACACACAATTTTGCCCATCCGTGGACTTAGGTCAAGAGCCCCTGAACTGTTCCTCCTCCTTACTTTATTAGCAGAGTATTTGTAATCCAGAAAGGGAAAGAATTTTGCCCCACGTCCCACAGCCAGTCAATGGCAATAGGAGTAGAACCCAGCTCTTCCCTCTGCCACTGTTACCTGTTGAAACATACCCAAAGCATATCACACAGCAATGTTAAGTCTAGACTTGATAAAGAAGAAAATCTCCCCTTATATAATGAGGTTAATAATATATACTACCCCCTTGAGGCAAATTAGAGAATTCTGACAAGTTCAGAAATGGAAGAGATTTTCCCAGCGATCACAGATGGCAGAGGAAGCAAGGGGCAGGCAGCCCATCTTAGATGTGTTGTGGAGAAGAGAAGTGGTGTAGACACTCTGGGGGTGAAGGCAGGGCTTTCTGGGGTAAGGGAAGGGGAAATTTAACAAGATAAATGCAAAATACTCATTTCAGGTTTCGATTCATTTAAACTATTTTATCTGTATGTTTTACTTTGAGTTACCTTGGAGTGAGAATAGAATGGAAAGCATAAACTCTGCTTTTTACCTTGTGTGGTGGTTTACTGCCTGGGATCGCTAGCTAATTGGGTAAGAAAATGTTATTAAATGACAGACCAGAGGGTTTTATTTTACTCTGTGGCTGTAGATTGCATCCGGTCCCTGTTATTTAGTTATCTATTGCAGTGTAACAAACTGTCCAAAAATGCAATGGCTTGAAACATAATCATTTATTTATGCCTGATTCTAAACTTGGCCAGGAGTCAGTGGGGATGGTTCACCTCTGCCCCATGTGGTCAGTTGGGGTCACTTATGCAACGGTACTCAGCTGTAAGCTTGGCATGGACTGGAGCATCCATGATGGCCTCTCATTCTTCAGGGCCTCTCTATATATGGCCTCTAATTCAATAGCCTGAACTTCTTGTGTGGTAACAAGATCCATAAAGGGAGCATTCCAAAAAAACAAGCCCCGGTGTGCAAGTGCTTATCAATCTTTGCCTTACATCACACTTGATAATGTCATATTGGCCAAAGTGAGTCCCAATATGGCTAAGCCAAGAAGGAGATGAGGAGGAGGCAGTACAAAGGTGTGGATATTGGAGGTGGGGTCCTTGAGTCACTAATAGATAATCTGCCATCTTGAAATTGAATGATGATGATGATGATAGCTGCTATAGTTAATTAAATGCTTGCTCTTACAGGCTCTGTGCCAAGCATGTTACCATATGATCTCATTCTATACAATAGTGCTGTGAGATCAGGAAACAGAGACGTAGGTTAAGCATCTAATCCTGGGTCACTTGAAAATTAAGCAGAGGATCTGGGATTCACATATAGATCTTTCTGTGTACTCAACATTGGGGACATATTTCCTTCCAGAGAAAGATAGTTCACAGGGCAAGGAGAGAGAATGAAGATAGTCCCGCTCTGAGCCACCAGCAGCCCTTCAAGCCCCAGAACCATGCCCTAAAAACAGCACTATTTTATTGTGCTGCAGCTGTCATCTCTTGGAAACTATAGGAAAACAGTTTCAGGTTAAATCTAGTTATATCTAAAGTTTTAAGCACAAGATATTAGTGTTATGTTTAAGAGAACAAAAGTTTCATTACAGGAAGACCATTGAGCTTCTTCTAGTTTGCCTGATTCAAGTTTCTTAAGAGTCATATACATGATCATTTTCTTCTCTCATTCATACCTCCATCAATATTGAGGACTGCTCTGTGCATATGAAGCTAGACTGTACACTAGAGACATAAAGCCGAAAAAGAAACAGGGTCTGTCCTCTGGGAGCTTGTAATGGAGGAGAGAAAGTGTAAAAAGAGTACAAGTTATAGGCTTGTCTGATCCTACTTCCCTGGTGACAGAAGCCTGGCAAGGCATGGGCGCTGCCCCTTTCCCCCAACAAGAGTGAATGTGATGGGGGGCCAGGGCCAGAACCTCCTACCAACGGTGCCCTCCAGGTGGGTTGGGGCCAACCAGGTCATCAGCCTTGGAGAAGGGAGAGGGCCAGGGCAAATAAACCAGGAGTGAGGGCTCAAAGTCAAACACTGGAGGTTAAAAATTCAACAACACCAAGGGAAAGGATAGTGGGAGCTGGTGGATATGAATTTCCAGGATCCTAGAATCAGCTCCTGGACACCTTTTTGCTCCCTCCCAGCAGATATTCTTTGGAAGGAGTCTGTTTCGTTGTAAAGGAATAAGATGAACAATGATGAATGACATGGGAGGCTTGTCCCCACAGGGATGGAAGCCCATGCACAGGAGGGGTTACTTCCATTTGGGGGAATCAGGAAAGATTTTGATAGCATTTGTCCTGAGCATTGGAGCCTGGGGAAGTTTCAAATTTGTGGATGGAGTGGGCTGGGGAAGTGGGAAGGAAAGGACGTTCTAGCTGAGCAAACAGTGTTATATGTGGGTAACTAGGTAGATAGAGACAGGGTCGTGTGGTCCTTAACTCTGAAATAAACTCTGAATCCCCTGGTTTCTAGATATATTTTGACACATTATTTTAAATTTAAAAATCTGCCTCCAAGAAATAATCCAAAATTATAATCTCAACTTGCTTTTGTCAAGCTGGTATCTAAATTAATTAGGTCAAAGTTGATGCCATAATGAAGTCAAAACTAAGACAATTTACCTATAAACTAATATAAGTAGCTATTTTGAGTGAACATTCAGCTAAACCTAAGTGCTGGCAATACTGGTAACAGCATATGTTGGAAAAATTAAAGTCAAAGTTTTAGTTGATTAACTGTTAACCTTCCTTCTTCACTGCCAGACCATCACGTCCTCTAATGCTCTCCTGTCCAGTACAGTAGCCCATAACTGCAGGTGACTATGTAAATCTGTTCATTAAAATGAAATAAAATTTAAAATTCAGTTCCTCAGCTGCTCTGTGTCACATCAGCTACCAAACTGAACAGCACACAACAGAACATTTCCAGAAAACTCAACTGGATAATGCTGTTTCAGTGATTTAGGTGATACATCCTCAGCTTACATCTCTAAGCAGCTGAACTCACACAGTCAAAGTTCCTATCTGGTGTGTAAATTATACTTCTGAATTTGTGCTTTGTGTTTTGTTTTGCGTCACACTGGCCCCCTTTTAGAAGGTATGCATATACGTGTGCTACTTGCACGTGTAATTCCTAAATAGGTAAAAAACTTTAGTAACCAACTTTGCAGATTTAAGAAACACCACTGAACAGGTGAGAAATAGAGCATCTCTGCTTCCTAGTCTGTCAAATCGAAGCACTAGTATCAGATAAGGTTTTCCTAGGGATTAAATGCAGTCATGCTTTTAAAGCGTATAACGTCGGGTGAGCTCTCGGTAAATGGTAGCTAGAAAGCAAAAAGTGGTCATAAAAACCCATTTTTATGCTGAAAGAAAAACTGAACTCTAATAACATGGTATGTTATTAGATAGCAGTGTTTTGAAGAATCCTGAATTCACAGCTTATGTACTGTTTCTATCAGTAAGTGCTAGATTTTTGCCTTTTACCTCATCTCGAGAGCCTGCACAGTCCAGCTGACTCTGTTTGTACCCTTCAGGCAGCGCGAGTAACCGGTCCAGCACCCGGAGCCTCCTCAGTGTGAGCAGCGGGATGGAGGGGGACAACGAGGTGAGAGCTGGGGCACCCCTACCCTCATAGGTCTTTGTCTCAGGGGTCATTTCACTGCAGGAAAGAGAAATCCAAGAGAAAGAAGCCAAACACAAAAGGTCACCCATTGTGGGACTCCATTTATATGAGACGTCCAGAATAGGTAGATCCACTGAGATAGAAGGTTGGTGGTTACCAGGGCTGGGGATAGGGGAAATGGGGAGAAACTGCCTAAGGGATACAGTGTTTCCTTTAGGGGGTATCGGGAAAATGTTCGGGGACTAGACAGAGATGGTGGTTGCACGATATTGTGAACGTACTGAATGGCACTGATCGTTCACTTGAAAATGATGGCTTTATGTTATATTGATTTCCCATCAATAAAAAGAGGGGAAGAAAGAAAGGGAGGGAGGGAAGAAAGGAGCGAGAGGATTAAACCAAAAGGGCCGTCTGTGAGAGGAAACTGGGTTAGTATCTGGGAATCCAGGGGTGGTGGTCGCCTTTCTGGGCCTGGGTCAGGAGCGGCAGGCATGCAGAGCCGGGGCTGGTGGCCTGTGTCCCCCCCCCACCCCCCGACATCACCCCCAGGCCACACACTCTTTGGTCCCCACGAATCACGCGGGGCAGCAAGGAAGGCAAGCTCAGATCACTAGTAATATCAATAACTCAGGTCCCATTGTCTCTTCTGTGACCCTGGTTGTCAGAGTCGGTGCAAAACTGCCCCCGGTGTTGCTGGGTAGATTTTCGTCAGTGAGTGACCTTCGGCCGAAGCCTGGGGAGAGCGGAGGAGCTTGTGGGGTGGCTCTGTCCCGCTGTGCCGCTGCTTAATGTCATTTTCAGCCTTCTCTCTCTCTCTTTTTTTTTTTGCTGTAGGATAATGAAGCTCCCGAGGTTACCAGGAGTCGTAGTCCAGGCCCCTCACAAGTGGACAGCATGCCCACCGTGCCCCTTGAGAGGCCCCCCAGGGTGCCACCCCGAGCCGCCTCACAGAGGTAACAAGGAAGCTGACAGAACATTTTTTTTTCCTCGCTCATTGAGTCTCAGGGCAGAGTAGGGGCTGGGGACATCTAAGGTGACCTAAGAGTGAGTACAGAGCTAAGCTCACTGAACTGCATACTTTGGACACATTTCAACGTGGACTCTTCATTCACTTTAGTGATGCTTTATGCAGTTGCAGACTCTAAGTAACAAATTCAATATTTTGTCAGTGAAATACACTGGGAAAGGTCAACATTTTGCATATTTTTAAAAATCTGTTTCGCTAGAATTCAACTCCTGAATAATTAATTCCCTTGGTTGTATTGCGGGGACAATGCTTCTGGAGGACCAGGAGATAAGAAGGAATTGGGGATGAAAATGCAGGTGAGAGACAGTATGGTGTGGTAGTGGGAAAGCATCACCTGGGAAGACCCCGGCAGCCACTTGTGTCCATGGATGAATTGTTTAACTTTCATGAGACTTTATTTCTGTGTCCAATAAATGGAGGTAATAAATGGACTTCCTCACAGAGTTGTAAGGATTGAGTTTCTGGCCCTAAATGAGAGCACAACTGTCTGTGTGATTCGTGTGTGTGTGTGTGTGTGTGATTCTTTATACAGAAGGATGAGTCTATGGAGATTGGAGGCTGGGCATTAGACAAAAGACTTATGGGGCTCTGATGTATGTTTGTGTTCTGGTTTCTAGCAGGAACCCTTTTAAGGTCTTATGGAATCACTGAAAAGGTGGTCAAAGTTAGCTTGTGTAACTGTCTGCTAAGGCAGAAAGGAACCTTTGGGAATAAAAGTCTAGGTTTGTCTTAGGAGTTTAATTCTTTGATGTCTAAAATACAGTGTGTGGGTAAGGGGTGATTAACTAGGTTTTTTTGTTTGTTTGTTTTCTTTTTTTTACATTTTGAATGTTTTAACTCAAATGAACCTAATCAGTGAGATTTGTTGAGAAAGTGCCACAGGGAGGTTTTTCTTCTGTTTTTCTGGAAAGAGCAGCTGACTCTGCACTGAGGATCTCTCCATTTCTGTCTTTGCTGTTGCGGCTTTTCTGTGAGTTCCTGGCAACATTCATGTACTAACACTTGCTACAAAAACCTCCCACAGTCCCAAAATGCTTCACACTCACCAAACATGTTTCTCTTGTTATAGACTAGAGGTCACATATTAGAGCATTAGCCCTAGAAGGAACTTGTGATAATCTAGTCCTGTCTGCTGAATTTGCATTATGTTCTGTTACTTGAAAATTATATATAGTTGGTGACTGGGGAGGGATGTTTATGGAGAGCGGTTATGGTGATAAATGCTTGTATTTATTGGCACTTACTATGTGCTGAGCATTCTGGTAAACTCGCTAATTGCATTAACTCATTTAATTCTCTCCACAGCTTCAAGTGGTAGATGTTTAGAGTTATTCCATTTTGCAGAGATAGAGACTGGGGCTTGAGACTGGATGGAGACTTTATCTGTGTGATAAACCTAGGTGTGCCTGACTCCAGGGTCCAGTTGTTTAGTCATTGTGTTATACATGTCCAAGGAGGTCCAGGTGTCATGGGAGAAGATCTAAGATCTAGGACCTTTTATTCTTGAAGGTAAAGGAGGGAGTTATCTAATTGTTCCAAGATTAAAAAGAATGTCAGTCTTGAATGTAGAACTTCAAAGACTGTGGAACTTTGTCTGCAGGAGATAAAACAACTAGGGAAGTGGATTCCAGAAATTAAAGACTGGAAACGGGAATGCATTTAATGTATAAAGAGAGATGGCAGTTGAATTGTTTGGGAGATTCTGGAAGCATGTTGTGATAAAGATAGGGAGAGAAAAAGGAGGAAAACACATGTGACTAAAGAAATGGTGTTTACAAGGAAATCTGTAATTGATAGAAAAAGGGTTTGGGTGCATTTTTGGTGTGAAGATTGGAAAAGATGCAGTTGTTCTGAAACTGTATAACGTTCATAATAAAATGAGGAGATGTTTGAGCAACGAATAACATGGGCCTTTGTCCTGAATGCTTGACCCACTGCTGGATAAGAGGGGAGGCTGACTGAATATTCTTCACTTCACTTCCAGATCTGGGAACTGGCAACTCTTCCCCCTCTTCCTGAACTTGCCTTCCCCAAACAGCACATCCCGCTCATCACTGTCTCCAGTCCTGGTCCCTTCCTCTCCTCACTCTGCATGCTGTCCCTGGAGCTTGAACTGTCAGCTCCAAGTCCATCTCCATCTCTACCTTGGCCTTCTATTTCCTGCTCTTCACTGGGGACCTCACCAGGGGTCCCAGAGATCTCAAACATGGGTGCAAAAACTGAACTCATCATCCCACCTGCCTTCCTCTGCCCTGAACTGCCTTCTTCTCATGACTTCCCAGCCAGAGACATGACATGCCTCTCTTTCTTCCCCAAGTCCCTAACCCCGGAGGCAGCCTCCATTGCTCCTTTGCAGCTCCCCAGGCTCTGTTCATTCTGCTGCCCTCGAAACTCTCAGCTCCACCCCCTCCTCTCCATCTGCCCATGCCTAAGTTCATCCCTGCATTTACCTCCCTGCCTCCAGTCAGTCCCTCCTCCACACTGCACAAGAGTGCACTTTCGAGAACAGAAATAGCTGATGATGTCACTTCCTGACATAAAAGCCTTGCATTTACGTCTGTATTTTTTTAGCATGCTGTAGCCCTAAGTCCCATCTTTCTCCTGTATTCATTGATATTCCACCCCTTAAGCATTCCTAGTGAGCTGTGCCATTTTATACAGTCTTTGCCCAATCTGTTCCTTTTGCCTAGAATGCTGTCTTCCTACTCCTTTCCAATCTCTGCCTAGAAGATTCCTACACATCCTTTAGGACTATGTCAAAACCTCACCTCTTCTTTGAAGCCTCCCCTGATGTTCCTCTGCAGCATGTACCTTCTGTGTTCCCCAAATACCTCTATTATAACTCACTCTACATCATGGCCCTTGTTTGCTATCTATCTCCCCAAGTAGATGGTAAACCTCAAAATGATAAAGATTGTTTTGATTAAAAAAGTTTTTTCTACTCTTCCCAATACAATATGGAGTTAACTCAGTAGTTGGCACATGCTAGGAACTTAGCAAATATTTATCATGCAAGTAAATGAATGGGCAGATGATAGACTGGTACTGGTTGGGTTGACAGCTAGCCATCAAGTCGTGTACCACAGTGCAGGTGGGTTACAGATCAGTAGAAAGAAGCTTCACATTCCCACTGGCTGTAAGTTCCCAACAGACTTCAAAGTTAGGGAAGGCAGATGGTGACATGAACAGGAGCAGATGCATTATATCCTTGTATGGCGTTTTCCTTGCAGTTCCCACAGAGTGGGCAGCTGACAGTGTCACATTCTTCATAGGTATAAAGTCCTGCCAGTAGAGAAAAAAAAAAGCCAATATCTTGCTGAGACATTGCCCCTTTGTTTTTGAATATATTTTGCTGTTTACTAGTGATTTTGCCAATCACTATGGGCTTCCCAGGTGGTGCAGTGGTAAAAAAATCTTCCTGCCAATGCAGGAGAAGCAAGAGATGCGGGTTCGACCCCTGGGTCGGGAAGATCCCCTTGAGAAGGAAATGGCAACCCACTCCAGGATTCTTGCCTAGAAAATTCCATGGACAGAGGAGCCTGGTTAGCTTTAGTCCATGGAGTCGCAAAGAGTCAGATACAACTGAGCACAGTGAGCCCAGCACAACATTCTGTGCACTCCCCTTGAAGGCACAGCCTAGGTACTGACGGATCAGAACATATTTCTGAAGGCCTCCTGGAGTACCAAGAATTAACCTTTTAGCTGCTTGGACTTCCCTGGTGGCTCAGCTGGTAAAGAATCCGCCTGCAATGTGGGAGACCTGGGTTCGATCCCCAGGTTGGGAAGATCCCCTGGAGAAGGGAAAGGCTACCCACTCCAGTATTCTGGCTTGGAGAATTCCATGGACTGTATGGTCCACGGGGTCGCAAAGAGTCAAGCACGACTGAGCAACTTTCACGTGTAAAGATATCTGTGGAATCTCTAGGCAGGAGCAGGGGGAGTGGTCAGAGAGTAAGGGGACTTGGACCTGAGGCTATTTACTAATAGGGAAGCTTAAAAATATTTTTTAACAATGTTGTGATCATACAAAAGCATACTGTCTAAATAACAGACCTGCTTTAAAAGAATGTTAACCAACATTAGGATTGCTGGGTTCTTGAACCAGAGTTATCTCCTCAGCACGGAGGAGAGAGCAACCAGTGCCCAGGTCTCTGGACTGGACAATCCTCTGTCTAACTCCAGCTTCCCAGTGTCCTCGGAGGCCATTTCCCCACAGACCGCCCCTCGGTTCTGACTTGATACACTTTACTTCCGTGGTTCTGCTATGTCTATAATCACAAATCCATTCCCAAAGACAGGGCTTCCAATCCTTAGCTGGGCTGTTCATCAGAAAGAAATATGGAAATGGTTTGCTTGTTGCTGCTGCTAAGTTGCTTCAGTCGTTTCTGACTCTGTGCGACCCCATAGACAGCAGCCCACCAGGCTCCTCTGTCCACAGAACTCTCCAGGCAAGAGTACTGGCATGGGTTGCCATTTCCTTCTCCAGATTTGCTTGCAGACCTGCTCAATTGCAGAGTGGGTCAACAGAGGAAGAGTGACCAGGAGGGAATCGTGCCTCTCTTTGTGATGGAAGGTAAAATGTAAGGCTCATGGGGCATACATGGGGAAAAGGTCTAAGAACAGGTCTTTAACCACAAATAATAAAATTATTAGCTTTACCTCTTGAGTAAAGCTACTCTAAGCCAGAAAGTGCTCTCCGTCTTCCACCTGTCATCTCCAGGCGGCACACATTACTCCAGCGTGGGCATCTTTACCTCTGTCTGGCAGATGAGAAACAGAGAAATTTGAACTTGTTGACCTTGTCCTTCAGATGTGTGCATGAATGCCTCTGCCATGTGTTCATAGGTTACGAACGTCCCCTAACAAAACATTTGGTACAGTGCACTGACTTTCCCTATTGTCTGTCTCATCCATTATAGTCTCAGCACTTTGAGGGTGGGATCAATGCCCACTTTACTTACTGTTATATCCCACACCAGAGGTTAATGCATTATAGATATGTTTGTTGAGAGGAAGGAAAGAAACCATCAAGCCAGCCTTAGCTCTCTTAGGTGATAACTGGTAACACCCGAGGGTTCTTCAGCTTTCTCCTGTAAGCTCACGGTTCATAGGGCAGGTTGGGGCAATGGAAGGAGTCTGTCTGTTTTCTCTGGATAAAAAGACAACCACACAAAACCATCTACTCCCAGGTGCCACTGTAGGACCTCTTGAGGATATCTGTTGTTATTCTTTTCTACTTCTGCCTCCATCTCTGCCTTCTGAGATGGCCCATCTTTTCCCAACTCCTTTATTTCCTTGACCTACGCAAAACTTGCATTCAAGAGACATTTAATAAATATTTACTTATCGATTCATTCAATCAAGTATGCAGTTCCAGGGTAGCACAGTTCAATTACAGCACTTGACAAAGCACCCTTTCTTGACTTACTGACTTGCTTCCAAAAGAATTAAATATTGGTTTTATAGCACACGTATGGAAATACCATCTTGATTGTTGAACCTCTTGTAAATACATTCCACCAGGTCTATCTGGAGTGTCGTTTAGCATCGTTCAAAAACCACCTAGGCTAATGTGGAGGGAGGCCTCTAGGAAAGCGGATGGGGAGTTGAGACAACACTGAGTGATCCCAAGTAGAAGTAGTTGTGAGAAGCTGACTTCAGAAATTCTTAAGTCCGGTCTCAAGGGATCTCCCTACTGCAGTATGTCTGCTGCCTGGCTGCATATTTGAATCACTGGAGTTTTAAAATATCGATTTTATTATTATTTAGGTGTGGCAAGGTCAGCATATCAGGAGACAATTGCCATTGAATAGGTGGTTTGTTATACTCCTAGATCTCAAGAGGAGGCGGGCACATTATGCTGGGGCGGGACACACAGGAAAGCCCCAGGTTTAGGCATGAGAAAGGGCAGGAAGCAGAGAAAGATGGGCAGGAACTTTTCTTGTGGGTTCTGTAGGAAGGAACCAGTGAGGCAGGCTAGGCAGGTTTAGGGTTGGCTAGTTTGAGTAATTTCTGCAGGCTCTTGGGCTCAGGGGCTGTCTCCAGTTGCTTGGCACCTGGCCCTGGGGTGATTAGGGCAGGTGGATAGAGGCCTGGACTTTGAGAGTCCCAGGACTGGAGGTGATTGGAATATGGACTCTGGATTGGTTAGTTTGCATGTGAAATGTGTGCAAACTGCAGGCTATTTAGAGGAATTAGCTTACCCTCAGAGGGGCAGGCCTTCCAGGATCAGCCAGGACCCGGATGTCAAAGCTTCACAAAATAAACCATATGGTTAATACAACTGGTTGAAGGAGGAACACTGTTTACATGTTGTCATGCTTGAGCCTTATCCTCCAGAGTTTATGATGGAATAAGTCTGGGATTGAGCCTGAGAACTGGTATTTTTCAAAGCCCCCCACCCAGAGTGATTCTCATGTTGGCTAGGATTGCAATCCACAGATTAGCATGTATGCCACTGAAAGGTCTGTATGTGTCTCCAGTTTTATTAATTGAAGGATGTGTCCTTTGCATAGTATACCGTAGTATACCAAGTTTGCAACAAATCATGGATTCCTAAGAAGTAGTTCATCAAATCTGTTTGATCATAATTGCTTTGTCTTTCATTTCAGGCCTCCGACCAGGGAGACCTTCCATCCTCCTCCACCTGTTCCACCCAGAGGTCGCTGATTCCACCTCTTAAAGGCTACCTCCTTCCAGACTTTGAGACTTGCAGTTTTCAGCCTGTTAAAATGATGTCTTCATGTTGAGTTTCATGGCCTGACTGCTGACCTTAAGACCCATTCTCATCACTGATATTGTTGTGGCCCTGCTGGTTTGGGCTTACCTTGAAGAAGATATTATTAAGGCACAAAGAATCAAAAAACTAAGAACTTCATTCACTATCATCTATTGATCCATATCCTTGTTTGCCAAGAGGATGACTACTTAATTGGAACTGGACTAGTTTGATATGTCAGGAGCCTGAGAAGATTGATCAGAAATGTACAAGTGATTTTACAGAAATGCACTTATATTAGGTCTTACTTATTTGCTAGTCCAATCTAACTTCTGTGTTTATGATTTAAGACTTACAGTACCTAATTTTTAAATGATTCTTCAGCTTTTCTGTAGCTTCAGGAGGGTGTTTAAATGCCAGGGCTGGTCACATACAGCAGACTCAAGGGGACTTTAGAGAGGGATTAGTCCTAACTCCTTTTAGATAGAAGGAAAAACTAATTTCACTGAAGCCTGGAGCCAAGAGTACTCAATTGGTTAGAGGAAGAGGTGGGTCTAGAATCTGGACCTGCTGATTCCAGATCATCACACTTCCCATATCCAAATGGCCAAGCTCTCTCCTTCAAAAGATGCCCAGATGTAGAAATGTGTTCAGTGACTATTGACCTTCTAGAAGTGTCCTTTTTCCATATCTCCCAGGTATGGGACTATCAAGTATTTGGGGCATTTATAATTCAGTATGCTTGCCAAAGAACATCTAAGTGGAAACCAAAAGCTTGGCATGCCAGGGACCCCACTTATTGCTCTGACTCCTTTATAGATCTTAGTTCTGGCCATAGGAGACAGGGGGGATCCTTGACTTTCACTTTGCTGAGGGGTCAGAAGAAGAAGGAAGAACTTAAAATAGAGATAGTCCTCTGTTTTACTATAAGCTTGTTATTAACACCAGGTTTGGGAAATCTGTGCAGAGAATGTAGAGCCTTAGGTATATCATTAATTTTGAGTCCTTAACGTATAAATCTACTTTGAAAACACAGGTCTTTATTTTGATGCTTAAATATACAGTAAAATTAGTATCAGACCCATTTCTTTAAAAATTATCAGAAATCTGATGGTTCTCCATGAAATTATTCTCCATCCCACACAAAGATATAAAAACTATACTATTAAAGATCCATTTAAGTACAGTTTTATTGAGTCCTCTTCTAATGATTAATGATTCTTTTTCAGGCGAATTCCTCAGTTCAGCAAACAACGATTGAGGGAAGTTAACAGCTTCTGGGATCTTGGGTTTTTGTTTTTCTTTTTCTTCCTGACATAAAATACACTATTGGCACTGGCCTTGAAGACAGTATTTGTGCAAATTACCTACCACAATTCCTGGCACATGGTAGCTGTTTTGGAATGGTCCCTTTACTCTCCTTGTCACTTATCTGGGAGAAATAAGGAAATATGAGATAAAAGAACAAGAAGTATAAGACTGGTATTCCTCTTATTTATAGACAGTCTCTATTTTAAGCATGCTTGATCTTGATAAAGCTATACTTTTAAAAATATTTAATGCCTCTAAGCCTCCTTTTGGAAGCCAAATTTAATTTTTTTTAGATTCTTTGATAAATAAATATTTAGATCAGTCACATGACAAAACCTACTGCTAGCCAATGGTGTCACCATCTTTGTATGCACATCACTGTGTAATATTGGAATATTTTATGGCATTTTATTCTTGTAGGAAAATAAGTGGAAAACATAAAATTGAAAGTACTTATGAGAAATCTGGGTTTCATAAATGTGGCACACTTGAGATGTGGCCTGAAATGATCAGGAGTGCCAAGTCAAAAATGGCAAGTTTTAAATCCTCATTGAATGTTCATTGAACATCCACAAATGATTGTGTGTAAAAGAAGAAAATGAAAAATTTGTATGAAGCATGGGGACCATGTTACCAAGGAATATCTCTAAATGATGGGGTGAAATTTTTCATTCGCCAGAAACAGAACCACTCATTATAATTTAAATTTACTCAATTTCTACACACTCAACCTTAGTATACATTTTTAGGAATACAGAATGTAACAAAACCATGAATTTAAGTACAATGAGAATCAGAAACTAAATTGTAACTAGGTATGCAAAGAGACTGTTAAAAAGTTCCCTGTAGGATGCCTCTCCTTCCCCAAGATGTTATAAACTGGCTCAATAGACAGTGAAGCTGTTAGTCATATTCACCACCATTGCCTTTGCCTCTAACTGTGCAAGGTACTTTGTCCTCCAGTTCCCAGTCCAGCACTGTTCCTTCATCTTATGTTAAAACCTGTGAGCAGATAACCCAACTATATGAGCAACAAAGTATGAATACTGAGAGACTCTAAACAGGAGGTTTGTATTACAATCGAATAATTTAACTTGACATATTTAATGATGTGAATAATCCCTAAGGCTTTGCCATAATTAGGTAAAGTAATAGTATGTAAATGACTTCAATGAATATTTTTCACATCAAGCTAAGTTACCTACTCTTTCCCCCTCCTTTTGTCTTTCTTTGTTATTAAAAAACAGGGATCCTAGTCCACCCTACATTACCTCAATAGCTGGGATTTTTAGATCCCTCTCCCATTTGCTCCAGGAAGTAAGTTGGTTTTCTGTGCTTGTCTTTCAAAGAATACTGTGTGGTTTTCCAACTGGTTGGCTGAGGAAGCATTAGTAACGGACTTATTTCCAAAGAAGACAAGTAGCTAATTTGGATATCTCTAGAAGATTCATCCTAAAAATTGATCCTCAATTTTGAGGACTCTGATTGTATAAATATTTGCTTTGGTTTGGTAAACAAATTGTGTTCTATTCATTTGCAAGTATAAGTTATAAAGAATAAAAAATGGTCTTCTCTATTCATTCCTGTGGCCAGATACTATGTTCACCAGAGAGGTGAGAGGATGAGTAGGAGGTTGAAAGATGTATTCTGAATTCTGAGCACAACTCAGAATTAGTTTTCTCATAAGAAGTGTAATAAATCGTGGGTTCCCTGGCTAGCCTGCCAAAGCCCATTTAAAATGTCTTAGCTAGCCATGCAGTAAGAGTTAGCATGATGCAGGGAAGGAACACTGGCTTGGAAGTCAGGAAAACTATTTTATTTTGGACTGCTACTGACTTGATGAATTCACCTACCTTGACTACCCATCATCTGTGAAATAAAAAGTTTTGTGTTTAGTAATAACCTAAGTCCCTTCAACTCTGTAAGTTTAGGACTAAGGCTAGGGGTGAGGAATCACGCATTCTGAAGAAGGAAGGAGACAGTCATACTGGAGTGACCACCTAGTTAGCAAGGGGTCTTATGGCAGCTCCTATTCCATGCCCTCTATTATTGGTATGAAAGATCAGTTAAAAGAAATGTATGAGAAACAGTAAAATGGGAACATAGTTGTATTATAATACAACTTATAATATTATAACTTATAATAGCCTCAGTTGTTCTTTGGTCTAAGAACCAAATGTTTTAAGTGATTGCTTCCTAAAGAAAGAATTCAGAACAATTATAAAGTTCCTCAGTATCTAGAACATTTCAGCTAGAACAGAAAAGGTAGAGGCAGAAGGTGAAAAATAGCAATAGAAAAGTAGATTACTAGCAAGACAAACATAACAAAGTAGAAAGAAGAAATAGAATTTTAAAGAAAAGGTAGCTGAGGATGGAAATCAGAAGATATTTTGTCATCTATAGACCAAAACTTTTGATGGTCATGTTTACCAAAAATAAAAGATTGAAACTGTGGTTTTCTGGATCATTCAGTAGTCATAAACTCTTTAACCAATTGAGCCTTATTAGAACGACCAGAAAAAAGAGGTTTTACAACCATTTGGGAGGGGTTGCCTTTCACTGGGCTTCTCTGGTGGCTCAGAGGTTAAAGCGTCTGCCTGCAATGTGGGAGACCTGAGTTCGGTCCCTGGGTCAGGAAGACCCCCTGGAGGAGGAAATGGCAACCCACTCCAGTATTCTGGCCTGGAGAATCCCATGGATGGAGGAGCCTGATGGGCTACAGTCCACGGGGTCACAAAGAGTCGGACATGACTGAGCGATATATGGGTATGGGTATTTTACTGGCATTTTCCCCCTCAATATTTTTGGTGTCAGGGAATGCGGTCATAAATCTAGATGAAGAAACTGATGAAATAAGATTTATCAATGTTTTTCAGTCCTCAGTTTGGCAGAACAACCCTGATTTTTTTGTTCATTTATTTTTATTAGTTGGAGGCTAATTACTTTACAATATTGTAGTGGTTTTTGTCATACATTGACATGAATTAGCCATGGATTTACATGTATTCCCCATCCTGATCCCCCCTCCCACCTCCCTCTCTACCCGATCCCTCTGGGTCTTCCCAGTGCACCAGGCCCGAGCACTTGTCTCATGCATCCAACCTGGGCTGGTGATCTGTTTCACCCTAGATAATATACATGTTTTGATGCTGTCCTCTTGAAACATCCCACCCTTGCCTTCTCCCACAGAGTCCAAAAGTCTGTTCTGTATATCTGTGTCTCTTTTTCTGTTTTGCACATAGGGTTATCATTACCATCTTTCTAAATTCCATATATATGTGTTAGTATACTGTAATGGTCTTTATCTTTCTGGCTTACTTCACTCTGTATAATGGGCTCCAGTTTCATCCATCTCATTAGAACTGATTCAAATGAATTCTTTTTAATGGCTGAGTAATATTCCATGGTGTATATGTACCACAGCTTCCTTATCCATTCGTCTGCTGATGGGCATCTAGGTTGCTTCCATGTCCTGGCTATTATAAACAGTGCTGCGATGAACACTGGGGTGCACGTATCTCTTTCAGATCTGGTTTCCTTGGTGTGTATGCCCAGAAGTGGGATTGCTGAGTCATATGGCAGTTCTATTTCCATTTTTTTAAGAAATCTCCACACTGTTTTCCATAGCGGCTGTACTAGT